CCCCCCTCGCACCTCTCCCCCCTCCGCACCCCCGAACTAATCCACCTCCGCACCTACCTCACCACCCTCCTCTCCTCGCACACCCTAACCGCCAACCCCGTCCTCCTCTCCCACATCCTCACCCTCCGCTGCACAATCTCCCTGCGCCTATCTTGCGCCCAGCACCTCAGCGCCGTCGAGCAAAAAGCCTGGGCGTCCGGTCACGGGTTTCCGATTTTCGACGCAGAAAGTAAAATGACTGGGTTCCGGTGGAGTTGGTCGGCGCTCGAGTTCGAATTCGGAGTCCATATCGTGGCGTGGGTTGTGCGTTGGTTGTACGCGTTTCAGCGTAAATCGGCGGCACGACGGTATGCGCTGCGGCAGTCGTATCGGTTTCTGGAGAATGAGGCTACGTATCGTAGGGAGAGGAGGGAGGGGCATGAGGTTGTGGAGTGGAGGTGTAATGGGGAGGAAGTGTGTGTGTGGGTTTATGGGGCGTGTTTTAGGGATACGGAGGAGTGGGAGGTTGCCAGGGGGGAGCTGGAGGGGTATGAAGTGGGCATGCTGAAGGAGGGGGTGGCGAAGATGCGGAATACGGTGCGGGGAGGGTGGGAGTTTGTGGTGTATGTTGAGGGGGAGGAGGCAGAGGTTGAGGAATTGTTTCCGGTGGAGAGGACGGCATCGGAGGGGCTTTCGGGCGGAAGCCAGGACGACGATGCGGAGTCATTTGATGGATACTACTATGGCGATAATTTGGAGCAAATTGTTGCTCTGACATCGGGACTTGAGGCCCTGGCACAGTCTTCTTGCGCCTCCTCCGCATCCGACCACGCGGAAGTTGATGAACAGACACCGGAAGTACCTCCTCGCGTCGGAGACTTGCTGCACCAGGCAGAGACACTGGTCAGCGCGATTAGGGGCATCAATTCGCAACTCTCATCTACCGAGGAGAGGCAATCGTCGTCTAGCCAGCACAGCGAGATTCCACCCGCTTTGCAGACACAGCCACTACCATCCCAGTACGCGGCATCAACTGTCAGACACCCACGCCGTGCAGCTGCAAGGCAGCCAACAACGCTGCACCGATATCAGGCGTATGCCGAAGACGACGATGGCGAAGGCTCGGTTAGTGCCTTGCCGAGCTCCTGGCGTGATATTTGAGGTTCACGACCAAGTTCAAAAGTTGTGTGTGTGTGTGTACATCATACTCTGGTATGTCTAAGTAACTAGGTGCGAGTAGTTTGAATGATCATGTGTTGGTATTATAGAAAAAGTGTCTTGAGTAAAACATGTATATATTCATGCTCTATGTATTAGTCAAGCGTGAATCAACTCGATAAAGTCTCTTAACTACACTTCGCAGCATCATGCCCGTCAAAACACATCTTCTCATCTCCAAATTCCGATGTTGAGAGCTACAAACGTAGTACAAGCGACACACACTATACCTCACTATTCTGAACAAATAAAACTTCAAAAAGCACTCCAGTTCAAACCTATTCATTTCATAGTCAAATTTACCAAACAATAAGGGAAGGGGGACGGAGTGTCATCTATCGCAATATATTTACCAATACCCAGCATTTCACACAAAATGGACAACGTATAACACCCTAATTTCAACTTTGTACTCTGTCTTCTTTATATCTGGAAATTAAAAAAAAAATGAAAAGGAAGAAGAGAAGAAATAAAAGAAAAAAAAAGGAAATTCGTGGCTTACTACATCATTGGCTTTACCTGCCCCGTCATTTTTCCCATACATGTTCATTTCGTTTGTGGATATCTCTGAAATAAGAAAATCATTTCACTGGTCGTTGAATCCACACTTAAGCCTACCATCAATGTTTCGCGTTACCGTTGGACGTACATCCAATTCCTAAATTTCTACACACACTCACACACAGAGCATCATGTGTCCTCGACGCTCCCGTCGCGCTGCGCTGGTATAAATGTAAGAAGATGGGAGGTCAGACGGGAAAAGAAAAATACGTAAAAAGTTCATCTCAAGCGGCTTTAAAAGGTAACAGTATGGGGGAATCATGCTTGCTAGAAATCTGAATGAAGAAGAAAGAAAAAAAGCAGGGGATAACAAACTTAAGAAACTCCCTCGCTATGCATAAACTGACCATCCATCATCTGGACCGTGAACTACGTGTGCGCAACACGCGAAAATACTCAAGTTAACGGTTGGAACGCGGGGGTATCAATGCAGAAGTCGAACACCAAATGCGCAAAAAGACATACTATGCCCTGGTTGGGTTGATGTTCTCCAGCTCGCTTCGCTGGCGCAGGTACTTGGCAGCAAGCTGGTCGCCACCCTTCATGGACTGCTCCATCCAGTGTTGCGCAACGCACATGGTCATGGGATCGCTGCGTGCAGGATCCTGCGAGGCTCGTTTCTCGCGGTTCAGAAGCTCAGTCTTGAACACCTCGCTGGGCTTGGTAAGCGGCAGCACAGTGCGGTGGATGAGTTCAGGGGAGGTGAGGTAGAAGATGGCTAATTCGCGCTCAGCGACTGAATCGCCTTCCTTGGCAGTGATGAGAAGCATGCGTCCTGCATCTTCCATGGTGTACTTGGACATGGGTTCGTCACCTAGGGCTGACGATGATGCGCCGACCTTTTCGGTCATGCTGCTGCTGTTTGCCTTGCCTGCATCACGTTTCGAGTTCTGGGTGATGACTTCATCAACAAGCTCGACCATGATGCGGCAGACGTCTTGCTTCAAGCCGAGGGCTGCAAGACCAACGTCCCAGAATGCTTTACCGCGCGCAGTCTTGTCGAGCATCTGCGCTGGTACAAAGGATGCGATAAACTGCAAGTCTCTGAAGAGAGTCTTGGGGCGAATGTTCGAGTCTCGCAAGAGTCCTTGAATGACCTCGACAATCATGTCTGTGCTTGGTGGTCCAACTGGAGAGCGAGCGCCGTTGCGAGGCAGTGGCGACGCATTGCTTACGCGATCTACGTTCATGCTTTGAGAACGACGCTCTTCGCAGTTTGCAATTGCCTCTTCCAGGTTGTGTGCACGCGAAGTCTGGGTGGCTGGCTCACGAGAGCTGAGTTCTGGCATAGCGCCAAGAGTGGGCGATTGGGGGACAGGAGGAAGTGTGTCGCGGCGGATGTTGTTGTTGTTATTATTGTAGGATCGACCAGTTCGAGAAGACAACGAAGCGATGATGAGAAGCTCCAATTCATACAGCGCATGCAGCTTGGAGAAGGGGTTGGGGTGTGTCTGGAACCTGCTGAGGAGTCGTTGGAAGGCAACGTTGTATGGGAACTCCAGTAGCCCGGCTTTCTTTGCAGTAGCATTGCCAGACGATCGCGAGGTAGCATCGCTAGAAGTCGACGAATGCTCTCCAGCTGAATGGTGTGCATCGGCGGCTGCGGCATGCTGCAAGGTTGCAACAGGAGGTGCAGCTGAGCTGCGCTCTGTCCGGCCAAGCGCTTCCAACGGCAGGTTTCGTTGGTCAACAGTCTGCCTTCGGATGTTCTTTGTGCTCTTCTTCTTGGCCAGCTTGTTCTTGCGTCGACGCTCCTCTTCGTCTCGGCGCTCGATACAGTCGTCAAGCAAATCACCACCGAACCATGAATCAGTCTCACTGCCGTTCGCAAACACCATCATGCCGAGATCGCTCAACAGAAGGCCAGTGAGGGTCTGCTTCAAGTCGAGCATGAAGCGGCGCTTGTCCTCATTGACTGTGGCCGACTGCTTCAGCATGACAGTGCCCTTGGAAGACGAGGCAGTTCGTGGGCGGATGCTCGTTGCGTTTGTCGGTGATTGCGCTTGTGTCTGGAATGGTGACCAAAAGGTAGCCATTGGGTCGATAGCCAAGACTGGTGAAGATGCGCCAAAGTAGTCAGACGACTCTGGGGGATTCCTGCTCCAGGGGTTCTGTTCCAAGATTGATGGGCGGTTGCCATTAGCGGCCGAACGCAGACTGCCGTGACTTGGGCGTTGAGAAAAGTCGTTGTTGCGCGACCCAGCCCGACCATGGGTTTCGTACTCTTCGTCACCCGCAATAGAGAGGGTGCCGACGCCAGTCAGGAAGAGATCACCCTTTTGTCGACCGCTCTCCAGGATTTGCTGGTCACGTTTGTACAAATCACTGGCCCAAAGCACTGGACCGTCCAATAGACCCTCACCAATGACCTTGGTGACGCATTTGTCGACTTCGAGGCAGAAGCGGTGGATCCGCTCCTCGCCCTTGCAAAAGTTCTCAACACCGTATTGCATGAGCCACTTCAGGGTAATCTCCGACTGCTCGTCTGAGAGCTTGTTCGGACCACCGAAATCCTGCGAAGCCGCCATGAGGTCGACCAGTTGAGCTTCATTTTGTCGCAAAAAGCTGTTGGCATTGCGGGATCGAGATCCGGATGGGCCCTTGGCGTTGAGCGTCTTGGATTGCTGGTCCATGATCTTGAGGGCAAGGGCCACATTTTTGGCGTCTTCATATGGCTTGGAAGTGCGGACATCGGTAATGTACCACATCTTGTCTCTCAGGTTTTTGAAAGTGAGCATCATCTCGTCGACCATGTTGTCGGACCTTTCCTGGGACTGCTTGAGCCACACAAACCATGCTTCAAACTCTTCAATGGCATTGGCTGCTTTGCTAAGTAAATCTCTGGGACCACGAGAAAAGTAGTTGAGAAGAGCTGCGTATCCGTTCTTGACCAGGGTTGGAGAACTGAGTCTTCGCAGACTCTGGAGGGTCTTGTAGTACATATGGGCATTGACGAAATCGGATCGCGCCTGGCATTGGTACATTGCTGTCTCCAACATCGTAACGAGCACCGAGCTGTTCTCTGACTTCTCGCCAACTTGCGGGTTGCTGTGACTCCTGGGAATCTGGGGAGAACGGCGTGAAGAGCCGCTCCTCTGGCTTGCAATCATGTTTGTGAGCTGGCTGTGACTCTGGTTTGCGTTGTATGGATTGCGAGATCCGAGGTTCTCGCTAATGTTGCGGATCGGACCGCGTCCACGAGCGCTTCTGCGTGTCGTCATACGGTTGCTGAAATTCTTTGATTCACTATCCGGGGCCAGTGTTTTGGGGATTTCGTAATCTTCCACAAGCTTGACAATCGCCTCCTTAAGTTGGTGATAATCGTGGCCGAGATCGAATCTATCCGTAGTGCCCTCATCGTCACTGCTATCGCTGTCTGGAGAGTCGTCGTCATGCTCTTCTTCGTCATCAAAGTCTTTGCGCATGCGTGGCTTGAGCTGCTTGCCATCAGCGGAGATGTACAAGACAGCCCATCGCTCAGCACATGGATGGCATGAGCCGGATGTAGCTTCAGCGCCGAGGATGCGAGTCATTTCTGAGCAAGCCATGCGCAGACGCTTTCCATAGAGCTCTGTCGGGGCTGGTTTGGTGTCAGTTTGCTGTTCGACTGGTGTCGTGTTGTTGTCCAAAAGTGGCTCGCGTGAGGTCTGATCACTTGTCATAGACGAAGCACTAGCACTGAGAATGGAGCTTGCATCGGTCATGGAGGCGGCAGCATTGCGGAATGGAACAGACATGCCAGACATTGAAGAAGCAGATGATGCTAGACCAGCACGGCGCTGGCTGTCGTTGTCCATGTGGCTCGATGAGGGGCGACGCTCTGGGAAGAGCGCATTGACCAGCGTGATGATGTCAGCTGGAGAGAGGACAATGAAGGGTTGCACTTCGACCGTCTCCCTGGGCGAGGTGATTGCCTTGGCAGGGAGTAGGATGGGCTTGGAAGGTGTCTTTGTGTGTTTGAAACGAGCCAGAATGCTCTCAATGTGGGTGCGGATTTCCGGAAGGACAGGTATCTGCTGCTTCCTACACGTAGAGTTAGTAAATATGCTTGCCGGATGATTTGCTGGGAGCCCGTACCAGTTGTATGTCATGTCGAGCACCTGCTTTTGGGCTCGGATGGCGATTTCCTTGAGAATCTTCTGGCGGGCATGTTCACTAATGTGGTGACCAATCATGATGCCGTGCGTCTGTCAAATGTTAGTGTTGTAACAGGCAATGCCGAAGGGAGAACTTGCCTCGGGGTGGATGATTGCGTTCAAGAGGAAGGAAGAAAACAACCATCGGGAAACAAAAAAGTTCTGCGATGCTTTGCGGGCTCCTCTTTCGTTCTCCTCGTTCAACTTGCGAAGGATGGCATTTCCGATTTCCAAGACGCCCTCTGGGATGCCACCAGCACTGGGCTCGTCATCGACGACTTCAAACAAGCGCTTAACAGCCTTGTCAAAGAACTCGTCTGCAGCAATGGTATCCTTGGTACTGCGAGGCACTGGCTGTGCTCCAGCCCGTACACCTGATTCCTCAGCTTTCTCAAGGAGGAACTGACCGTCCTGGAGGGTTTGCATGAGGTAAAGCTCCAGGTTGGCCTTTCCGGGCCATTCGCGCATGCCTGCCCAGACGTCCAGAATGGTTCTGATGAAGTTGTGGCTAATCTTGGTATCCTTGATTAGTTTGGCGCAGACGGTGGCCCAAACATCGGTACGGCGAAGGTCCTCTGCGGAATCCGGACCAGACGAGTTTGCAAAAATTGTGTAAACAAGCGCTGAGAGGGGGTCGTGGCGCTGGAAAGACAAGAGGCGTTCAATGGGGTTGCCGCCTTGCTGCTGGGCCTTTTGGGAGCCTAGATTTCGACCGCGGGCCTGAATGGCCATGACTGAGTCAATAGGGTCCATGGCCTGGCGGAAAGAAGTAAGAGCAGCCAACTCTTGCTGCGAGAGGCTGGAAATGCGAGAAGCAAGAAATTCGGGATTTGTGCGAATTTCAGAAATGAAATCTAGAAGATTGTCCAGGATCTTCGAGGGAACATCGTTGAGGAAAGTCGAGGCCGAGAGGGACTTGTCCGACTTGGTGGTTTTTGATTTTCCAAACTCCAGGTCTGGCTCCAGCAGGGCATACTGGCGTGTGGCGTCACACGAGTTGCGGACGTCGTTGAGAGCGTTGTATAGCGAGGCAAAGGCCTTCTTGTCGTCCGACCGAAAGTTGTCCACGAGGGTGCGGTATGCCAGCTCGCCGCAGTGTACCAGACGTGCGGAGAGGGCGCTGGAGACGAGCCATCTGTGCAGGCGGACTCTGGAGTGAGCCTTGCGCTGCTCCTGGTAGCCCTGGAGGCGGATCAGGTGGGCGAGTTCAGCGAGGGAAGTGGCGGAGGGGGGTATGGCTGCGGTGGGCAGGTATGAGTCGGTGTACGAGGACAGGTCGGCGGGGAGCAGTCGAGGCAAGCGGCCGGCGGGAGCAGACATGGAAGCGGCCATCTGGGGCCTTTGGTGAAGGAGGGTGGAGAGGCCATGGCGGTCGTTGCTAGCGGCGTCGAGGGACGCGCCAGGTCGACTGCCCATGGTCGCCGTGGATTGTTTGGAAGGGCGAGGAGAGGGCGACCGGGGGGGAGCCTCAGCAGGCGGGTCGTCTGCTTGAGAAGTATGGTGCGAGGGCGTGTGGCTCCTCGAGGAGAAGTGGGTGACGGTGGGCGACACGGCTGCGAATGAGGTCAGAGTCGGTTGTAGTGCCAGCACATCGTACAGAGCGCATTGATACGAGGGACCAGCGACTGGGCCAGGCACACGGGCACACGGACAGGCCCAAGCAGAGGCACGGAGGGACAGAGAGAGGGACGAGGGAGAGGGTCAAGAGGGGCACGGGTGAAGATAGGAACAGGCACATACGTAGAGGGGTGTTTGAGGCCTGTGCCGGGGGCGAGGCCGTGAGTTGGGATCGTCGCATCATGTCGCCATTCGCCATTCGCCGTGACGGCGTGTCAGCCCGAAGATGGGGGAGCGGAGCAGCTCTGACGGAGGATGGAGTGGCAGCAATGGGCTACAGCATGGCCAGATGTAGCTATGGTATTGGGAGAGGAGGAGCTGCTTTGGGCGCAGCTGGCGACGGCCTCGACGTGTGCGTTGGCGCGTCTTTGACTCTTTTGGCGGGCATGGGGGCCGTAGCGAGGCGGGCGGGGTGTGATTGGGCGGCGGCGATCGAGTCCCTTGTGTGCACGCTCAACGGCCAAGACGAGGAGAGGAGAGGGCTGACCGCCTTTGGTGCCTTTGCTCTCTCTACTGCTGCTACTTACTGTATCCACGCCGGGCCAGGCGACCACCGCGATGACTTGCAGCCCTGCCACGACCAGCACATCGCCCGTCTGCCAATCATACGCCCTGCACCCAAATGCCTCAGCTGCAAAGGGACCCCCCCTCTGCTCCTCCGCCCACACGTTCCCGGCCAGGCCATCCCCGCTGCTACCCATCCTCGCTCCAAAGACAGCGCACGCCTGCCATCGCCACCGACGAGTCGCTGTTCTCCCGGAGCATCTAGGGCTTGGCTGTGGGTGGTGTCGTTATTGCTATTGCTGCTGCTGCTGCTGCTGCCACCACCACCACCACTCCCACCACAACACCCGTCCACTCCCAAACACCCCTCCCCCTCGCCCATACCTACATCTGCACCTTTTTGCGCCGCCAGCAGCCATCAGCAAATCACGCCTTCGCTCCGCTTGTCGCCCTCGTAACTTGACGGCGGTCGGGTGGAGTCGTCTTCTGCCCCTGCGCTGCCAGCACATCAAGCGCTGCGCATGCTGTCAACAAGGCCCATGCAACTTGCTGCACGCCAAAACCATTGCGTCGCCCTGCTGTGAACCGCACGTCTCCCACTTCATCTTGCAGTGCAGCCCTAGTCGCTGCCCCCGTCTCCAAACCGCCGCTGCTCTGCCATGCCATGCCCGTCCAATGAGCCGCATCGCCGTGCCGCATGCCGTGCAGTCTCTGTCGCCCAAACGTGTTCCTTTTGCGCCTTTGCTGCACTCATGCACTCGCACCTGACCTGCTACTCGCCGCCTCTCTCGCCTGCCACCGCCAGATTACGCCATGATAACGTGTCCATCTATCTTTGTCCTGCCCATCCATCCATCATCTATCCATGTCTGTGCGTGCCCATCTGCATCCACTCGCCTGAACCGTTGCAGTCGCAAGAAAATATGCTAGACCGACCCATCTGCCCGTGTCTGGATGCCTGCACCTGCACATCCTCTACTTTGCTCACTATCCCATCTGCCGGTCGCGTGCGAGAGAATACCCCGCGACCGCCGCTAGCCCCGTTGTCGGCAGACCGCTTCTTACTTAGTCACCACCCAAACACAACCACAACCCCAACCCCACCCCACTTACCCAACCTCAGCCCAAGCAACACGCCCCTCGCACTGCCCAACCGTTGCTATGCACCCTTCAATCTACATGCTACTGCTAAACCTACATATACACAATGCAAAACACATGCAAACATGCCAATCCCATCCATTCCCCTTCCGGCCTCTCGGCGTAGCGCCTTGCCCAAAATACCGCTTGCTACCCTGCCATGTACCCTCCGCTCCTACGTCTACCACTCTAACACTCCCCACTACAGCTTGCTACCCGCCGACCATAGTCATGTCATGGCTTCCCTGAGCAACGGCGCGACACGTTTCCGGCTGTGCTGTACTTGTCTTTGCCACCAAACTTTTCTCCACTCGCTCCCACTGTCCAGGTCGCTGTAACCCTGCCAGTCCTCCAGACCAAGTTCCTCCCGTGCATTCGTGGCAAAGGCTTTGGCAGCTGATACACCTCCTTTACCAAAAGCCCACAAAAGGACCTCTCTCTCAAACTGCCCGCTCGCAGACGTCGACGTCGTCATCAGACAGTACATGCCCAGCTCACGATCCTTTGCAAACTTCTTGATCGTCTGCAACAACGCTTCCCGTGGTGACGCATTGCCTTCATCGCCAGCCTTCTTCTCCAGAAACCCGATGCACTTGACGACCGAGCTAATGCCCAGTCTCTGCGCCTCGTCCCACTGCTTGTAATCCTTCCGCAATATGTCTTGCAGCTGTAGGCTACCAATGTCCTTCTTCGCTGCATCAATCTCCTCATAATACCTGGTCCGATCGAAGCTTGCAGCCAATCGGGCGCATAGCATAATCTTGGCTTCGAGGTACCCGACTGCTTCACGGTCATGCTCGGTCGTTTTGCTCGCATCCTGGAGATTGGCTGTATCGATGAGGATACTGGCCAGTCCCAGCTGGGCTACATCCGCGTCCCACTGCTGGACAAAGGCCGCGTCGTTTGACAAGCTGTCATCTTGTCCATGGGATGCCCCAGAAGACATCGCCGATGCAGAGAGGGCATCCCACGCCGGGCGGCAGTAATTGGCTACAAGACTAGTGCAACTGCCGCTTTTTTCAATAATTCGAGGTTCCTCACCCGTGTCTGCTGGCACCTTGCCTTCGTCATCATGGTGGTCAACAACACCGGCCACGCGGTCAGCATAGATCTCGCCCAGCTGGCCCTGGAGAGCATTGTGGTCTACAAGAATCCACCGTGTGTTCTCGGGTGCCAGTTTGGACCGGATATCTGACAATGCAGGAAGATCATCCAGTGTAATCAAATGCTTGGACTCGATGTTAGCGTGCTTGAAAACGGCAAGATATTCCGGTCGCAACTGGATATCGGCAGCTGGAATATTTGTGATTGGCACGTAGACTGAACTAAACGCCTTCTTTTGTGGCGACATGGACCGAAGGTAGGCGTAGAGAATCGAGCTTGACATGGAATCAAGGTCTGGATTGCATGAGTACGGAAAACGCCCTTGCGCGCAGCGGGGAGTCATGCTCACCGGCCGATTCATTGCCAATCACAAACGTGATCTTCTGACTGCAGTCAATAGCATCGCGAAGTGCGCCTCTCGCGTGCGTGAGGAAAGCTCGTAGTGAATTCCTCGGCACTGCCATGTTGGTGCGTAGCGGTGAGACGTGCAGATGCTACAAGAAGAGTGGAGGGACGAGCAGATGGCACTAGAGCATGACGTAGGACGAGCTTGGGCCACCTTGCAACTTCTACACGTGCCCAACGGGGATTGGAAAGAACAGTCTCCACCAAACGCCAGAAGCGGTGTCAATAATACAACACTGAGCTTTAGCATTTCCATTTCAATTTCTATTGATATTGACATCAACATTGCCCACTTCCAAGCCTAATCTCCCGAGACCCAATGGCCCCACTGACCTTTCTTTGCTACCTACCCAGCGCTTGGAAAGGTTGCTTGCTGACGTTGTTGACGCTGCGATGAGTCGACATACGTACATGGCTGCGCCCCCGTCCCATGCTCATTCTGCTTCTTTTGTTGCTTCCAGACCCTGTGTCTAGCTGAGCTCGACGCTTCCAGCGGGTACGCCTTTGGTGCTTCGGAGCCGGCGGGCAAAGAATTGCATAATGGGCATCATCTCTTCGCGGTTGCTCGGCATACTGTCGCCGTTCTTCTTCCACTCTGCAATTTCGACGTACTCAAAAGCGTCTTTGAGCTTGGAAATTGCACTGTCGCTGACTGACGACTTTTTGTTCGCCGTGCAGACCAGTACTGGTGTCTTGCTCTTGTTTTGTAGCGCTTTGAGCGGCACAGATTGTGACAGCGGACCGCCAACGCTGATTACCCCGCCGAGCTCTTCGCCATAGAGCTCGGCGGCAACCTGTAGCCCGACCATGCCGCCCTGTGCAAACCCAAATATCATAATCTCGCGCGCTTTGTAGCCACACTTGTCGATAAGCCCTTTGCGAATGACATCATCGAGCACCAGCTTCACAGACTTCTCTAGACCTGTGTCCATGTCCATTTCGCCGGTGCTCGAGTCAAAAATCATATCTTCACCCCAGTTCATCCCGCCAAGATCGAACGGTACCGGGTTGGGGGCCTGCACTGCGATACATGCTGTCTCTGGCAGGTTCAGCTGTTGTCCAAGCTTGGTGAAAGGCTCATGCGTGTCTCCGAGGCCGTGCAGAAGGATCAAGACATTGGTCGGCTGCGAGGAAGGCGCTGGGCTTGTTAGCGGAGACATAAGAGATACTGGCAGACCTCGGCATACAGGGCGTAACGGTTAAAACCGCGGATGAAGGGAAGTCTGTTTTTTCAGGGAGGCGGCCTGGCATGTTGTCGCAAGTTACGGTAGGTTGTGAGGCTGAGCTCTTTGAGGGGCGGACAATCGCGGGGTTCGAGGCAAGACAACGATCGCCTGAGCCGGGAGATCTTCACCGACTAAACAGCCAAGCTTTCTTCCTTGACCGTTGCCAACATCGCCATCTCGCTCTCTGATGGCAACAAATTTCGTCAGAGATGGCGTGCTGATATTGTGTGTTGCTGTTGGTGAGTTCTGAAGGCATGAATTCAGCTCGTCTCAGAGTTCCCCGCCCCAGGGGCAGGATTGCAGTTGCATAGCCCCAAGGGCTAAGCTATACCAAGGAAGCTTATTTCGCCGGCCCATTAATCCCGCTCTCCGGAGTCCACGGCTCGCTGCATTACGCACGCATCTATACCACGTTCAGCC